CTGGGATAAATTTTACCGTTGGAGGAATTTGAAAAGGACGGCTGGGATTAAAGACGAATGTTAAGATAGAAATGTATGTTACTTTAGAATAGATAATGTATATAAAATTTAATGTATATGTAGAGATAATGAATTGATTGTAAAATATGGTATAATCTGATAAGAATGTATATACTGGAATGTCACGTCAAATCCAATGGTTCTTTTTAATTGTTTTATAAATAAAAATTTTTTTTTAAAAAAAATAAGGATTACCAAATGTTAATCTGATTTTAGTACTTTGTCTCTATGTATATCTATGCAAATTTGTGGGGAACAACATTTATTAATAGTTTACATATATTATCTCTCTCTGTGTGCGTGCGTGCGTGTGTGCGTGTGTGTGTGTGTGTGTGTGTGAATGCATAAATGTGTTTGTGGCAGGTGGCGGGTGCTTCTTATCTTGTCAATAAAACTGAGATTAGGATTGGTAAGAAATAAATATAATTCTTGTTTTCAATAATGAATTGCTATTCTATGTATCAGAATAAAGTAAAAGAGAAAAATGAGTCAGCTTCATTAACATGTACACTTCTGCAGATCATCCAGTCTTAAAATTATCAGGGAGATATTTGAAGAAGCCGAGACCAAAGTCAAGAATGAAAGTGCATTTCAACACAACGTTAAAGTCAGGAACGCATGGTCAGTATCAGCAGATTGTCCATATGCAAAAATAGATTGAAACAATATCAATAGATGTCAGTGGTTCTGCTATGCAGATAGAGATTTTACCCATTTCATTTGGGTTAAAATCCCAGTTCAAACATGCTTTGGCATGTTTAAGGCAAATTACAAAACTTTGATCAACTCCGCGATGGTTTGGAATGCCCATCTGGATGCTGGCAGCCCTGCCTGTAATTGACAAGACTAATCAGTTTCACACCTTTGGCTTTTGTTTGCCTCCCAGTGTCAAATTACGAAGATTGCTTGGGCTAGGATAGCCATGCCGCTTCTAACTTGCCAACAGTTAAAAGGGGAGAGGGGAACATATGGAATGCATAGGTGGTTTCTATCCCTATGGGAAGCAAGGTCGCAGGAGCTATATTAAGGCAAGCAGAGTCATAACAACTGCCTGAAGACTAATTGGACAATGTGACCTGAGAGAGGAGGGAAGGTTTTACTCTTTTAATTATCTTTCTGGCACCATATTGCCAGGGCTGATTTTCTATTCATTAGTGCTGGTATGCTGTACTCAATAAAGTTTTGCATTAGAGATTAGAATGTCGCAGGTGTGCTTACTTCGTTGGGATCATCAGCCAGAACCTTGACTCACAGCCCCTCCCTCCCCTTTGGAATGCTCACCCCCATGCTGGGATAATTAGCAAGAAGGGAAACAATGTTTGTATTTACATTCATTAGAGAGGAAGGGGTTACAAAAGAGTCAGCAGCCCTGAGCACATCATGCAAACAGCCAGTGTATTATTCCCCATTTGTGCGGTGCTTATTCTCTTGTAATCTCTTGTCTCCAATCTCTTCATTCTGAGAGGAGGGAGAAGGGGGAACAAAAGAACAGGTCAGGCACAGGAGAGATTATGTAAAGAGATCTTTTTTTTCCGTTCCCTTCCCCCCCCCCCCCNCCCCCCCCCCCCCTTGTTTAAGCAATCTCTCCATTCTGTTTAAGCAATCTCTCCATTCTGGGGGGGAAACAAGCAATGAATCTGTACTTCGTTAATCTTAAAGAAAGTAGACACTATTATTTTAAGAATAATATTAGCATCAGAGTAGAAAAACCATATGATTATTATTTATTAAATTTATATGCCGCCCCTCTCACCACTAAGGCGTCTCTACCCCCCAAGTATCTCAGATGGTGTATTTAATCTACTGCAGCAAAACAGCAGAGGGAAAGCAATTGAGGCTGTCAGTTTACTTTGTCTTCATATGTTTTGACTCCATAAGTGCAACTTGGGTTTAAATTACAGTGATCATATTTTCTTGATGGGGGAAAAATGACAAACCTGAAAAGGGAGCAAATATGAAAGAGGTTCATAAGGATTTAAAAGTGTTTATGTTTATATGCTTCACAAAGGAAAATGCAAGAGCAAAATTAAGAAAATAAATCATTAAATTAAATGAATCTAAACAAGGACAGCTTTCTGAAATAATAGTTGTATGGCACTGTAGTCTAGGTGCCCCATGCCAGCTCATTAACAGGCTATTTTATTTTGTTACTGAGTGAAAAATCCTGACTTTTCGGGTGCTGTGCATGGACATTTGATAAAACAAAGTACCCCATGATGAATTTGACAGCTCTGTTAATTAATATATAGTAAACTTTTGCAGCCTGCTGTTGACACTAATTATAATTAGCTCAATTTTGTCAGCCATAAAGCTTAGCTAAGATATTAGGGATCTTGGACAATTCCACAAATCAGTATAAAATACATGCTAATAATTACTTTTCTTTCCAGGATTTTCCAGGACTGTAGATCCCCATTTCCTTTTTCAACTACCTCATGAAAATTTTTTAGTTTGTGTAACTTTTAGTCGTCAGCCACAAACACCCTTAAATCTGTTGTCTGATCCAGAGAAAGGTAAGTGATTTCTATAAAGAATTGGGTAGATCTGAATATTCAAAGTTCTATGGGAATGTTTTCCTTCTGACAATCTATGAAAATCTATTCTTTTCTGATTCTTTTTTTTTTTTGTTCACTGTACTTTTCATCTCATTTTAGACAAATGCATTGTAACTTGTTACAGATTCCAATATATACATGGGGATGTACTGACATTTCTTTCTTCCTAAATCCACTGATTATTTGTGATATTTATTTTAAATGTTGGAGATTTCTATCAACTCTTTATTGATTGTCTTGTATTATATCTGCTGCACAGATGTAAAAATATTTAGCAGCATTGGCATGATGGATTAATGCCTGTCAGCTATCTGGACAAAAACAGATTTTGTAATTATTTGTGTAATGTAACTAAGTCATCTCCAAATTAAGCTTGACTGCTGGTGAAGTTCATGGACATGTTTACACACCTTCTCCCTGGAGTTTGTTGTAGATATAGTAGACATGGATGTAGATATAGTAGATATAGACATAGATATAGTAGACATAGGTGTAGATATAGTAGACGTAGAAAGCTTTTCTGTCTAGCTAGTAATCTTGGGGTTTTTTGGTGGTCTCCCATCTAAATCCTAAGTGGGTTAAACTCATCTTAGGTTTTAAGTCTAAATAAATTGAGCAAGGTAGTGCATGAAATTGGCAATCAGATTAAGTAAAGAGCAATCTTTTATTCATTGTAGGGCAATTATTTCTGTACTAATGAATGTTAGGCAAACACTAGTATATTTCCTGAATGTTCCTTTACATATGTGTAGGGATCCAAGTGACTGGCAAGTTTGGTGAAAACAAGCATTTTACACAGTTTGAAATAATTTATCCGAAGCTTAACCTGGAAATAAATGTGTCAACAAAACAAATTACGCTGAAAAGTAATGGCTCCAGTGACTCTTTTGTGTGGAATGACACAGAATCTTTAACAATTGAAGGGTAAACTTGTTGTTTTTAGTTTTTTTTATAGACAATTGAAGTCCCCAATCCCTAAAACATAGTTTCTTTTGCATAATCTGTCAGACTGAAAGGTGTCCTTTCTTCTTCCCAGAAACAATGCCCATAAAATGAAAATCCTTGTATGTCAGGCTGCAATGTTAATAATATTGAATTGGCTTTATTTTTTACCTCCCTGGATATATGTACATAGCTTTAAAACATTTTACTGTAACAGATGCTTCATAATATATGTTCAGAAAGAATATCATATGCTTTAAACCCTTATGAGGCCTACTCTATTAGGAATCTGCCACTATGCAGCTTTCTTAAAATTGGCTTATGATGTTGTTTATACAATCTCAAGGAACAGTTAGTAAAATTGGCTTATACAATCCCAAGGAATTGTTTATACAAGCCCAAGGAATAATTAGTAAAACTTTGGGTAAACCAATATGACCACTTGCTATTGCATTTGTAGGTAAAATTTCTCACATCTAATTTACACTCCTTCATTAAGATAGAATTAAAGACTAATGCAGCCAATACAGCATTTGGTCAGTTTGTTGTGGATATATTTGAACATAGTCTCTTTTTGCGTAATCTGTCAAACTGATAATTTAAGAATTTATGTTTGAGAATATAAATAAATTATTTGGATATTTGAGATCCATTGCTTAGATGGTGTCCATTCCGGCTAGACCATTAGCTTGAAATTCAATCTGATTAATCTTTCCATGTTGCAATTTTTAGTCCTTTGTTCCTTGGAAAATGGTGGTGGTTTTAATTCACTTAAATAAAACCAAATTAAATCTAGTTGATATATAAACTATAGTATCCTGTGTCTAATTTTTCAGTTGTTAACTAGATATTAGAAAGACTTATGATGCCTGAGATTTAATAGGATTCAAATTATCAGCTTCTTTTCAGTCTGATTTTTGCCCTTATTAGCGATTGAAACTGTTTTTGGTAATCCGATGTATGGCCATGATGGAGATAGAAACATAGCAATAGTATTGATCTTTCTGATGAAAGTTTTTAAACTTTCTGTCAGGATTAATACAACATCCTGTTTAAGTATATCCAAGGCTGTACTTGGAATTTATTGCTCTATTATCTTTCTTCTGTGGTTCTTCTAGATTTAAATTTTTGTGAATGGTATTTGATACCCACATAAAATTAATCAGAAGGAGACAATGGAAATCCTAAACTGGTATCTGAAAACAATTCCAAATTAATAAAGGCAAATCATATACAATTCTGATTTTTCTTGATTGTTTCTAAGTCAGCTTTACCTATGTAATTGTTTCATGTTAGCTTCTATAGTAGTGATGGAGAACCTTTTAGAGACCGAGTGCCCAAAACCCATCCCCACCCCTGTCCCCGCTCCGCCCTCCCCACTGGGCCATCCGCCACCTCCACGGCTCGTCACAGTTCACCCAGGCAGTCCAGCAGCACCATGACGGCCACGCCCTCCACCCATGCCCCGCAGCATCATCTGCGCACGATGGGGCGCAAGGGCAGAGTCTTGTCCCCACGCTGCTTTGCATGGGCCGCGCCCAGGGGCGACTCTCCTCCGGGAAGGCTGCTGGTGAGGAGGGGGCTGTGGGAGGAGCCGGGGCTGGGGAGATGGTGCGTGTGCCCACAGAAAGGGCTCCGAGTGCCACCTCTGGCACCCGTACCATAGGTTCGCCACCACTGTTCTATAGTATCTTTATTTATTGCTCTTTTTTTTTTTTAAAAAAAAAAGGAGTGTTTGGATAGTTATTTGATAAATATCCATCAAACAGATGGGGAAAACAGTTGAGATTTTGCCTTCGCCCTACAGCCACAAATCTAGATAAGCTACTTAAGACTCCTTAAAAGCATGAGATGTAAGTCTGAAAAGAAGAAGTGATTTTTGTTTTTTGTGTTATTGTTTTTTAAATCACCCTCTTTTTGTTGTACTAGATCAGTGATGGCGAACCTTTTAGAGATCAAGTGCCCAAACTGCAACCCAAAACCCACTTATGCATCGTTGGGTGCCGGGTGGGTGTGGCCCATTGGGTGGACGTGGCTGCGGTGGTAACAGCAGACTGGGTGGGACTAAAAAGTTCAATCAATCAATTCCAACTTTCAAGATCTTTTTTTTTTCCCATGAGAAGTTGAAATTGACTGATTGATTGTACCTCTTTTTTTTGTACACGGCGGCAGAGGCCTAAAGCAAAAAGATTTTATAAAACCCAGCTGAAGGCCTAGAACTGGGGCGACGGCACACGTGCTCACAGAGAGGGCTCTGAGTGCCACCTCTGGCACCCGTGCCATAGGTTCGCTACCACTGTACTAGATGATGCATTCCATCAATAGAGGGACAACAATTAAAAACTGCCTTTCAGGTGTTGCTTAAATAAGCATTTTCTAAACTTCTGTAAGTCCATTGTGCTGAAACACGCTGTGTAAATTACTTCCGGGAACTATATAAGGGATATATAATAAGAAACAAATGCAAAAATATTCATTTACATATGTTTTATTAAAATTGTGTTTGCCAATAACAGTATGAGCAATATTAAATTACTACATCAACATGACAAATTGTCAAAGGAATATTAGAAAATAATACAGTTTGTTCTGTCTTAGGCTAAACATTACACTGACAAGTGGAGAAAGTCTCTTTCTCTCAGGACCAGACAACATCGTGACCAAAATTTTCTATACACCTCCTCCACTGGATCGGCTTGGGTTGTACTTTGAGAATAGCAATTCTTTTTCTGAACAAGTTACTGGACTTTTTGGTAAGTATTTAACTACTGCTGTAGACTATAGTAATACAATTTGGAATTAAACTTGGCTTTTTAATATGATCATAGTATCCACAAAGCATCTTATCCACGTTATCTTGCCAGTCTTGCTAGATAACCCTTTGAGGTACATGAGCATTAAAAAGATAAATTTGCCCTTAAATCAAATTTGACTTTTAGTGACTTCATGAACATATAGATAGCCCTGTGGTTTTCTTCTCAGCAAAGGGGGAAATTGCTTTTGGGTGCTAGTGAGTTTCACATTTTGTTCTTAACACTCCAAGTCAGTAATAAAAAAATATAATAACCTTCTAAACTGAGGGTTGGGAGAGTGAAAACTATTCATATGGAAATGGCCTTTGATAAGTTTTCTTATTAAAAAAAAGCTTTCTAGTGATTCAGAAGAGTACAAAGACTGTGTCTATGGAAGCACATATTTCTTCAGGGTGAGGAAAAAGAAAACTGGATTGTTTCCTTTTTCATTTCTCATTTGGGGAAATATATCTGATGGTTTTGCAACTTTGCCTCTATTTACATTATTTTTTAATCAAGGCTTTCTGATCGCAGTGTTTTGTAATAAAGATATTGATGTAGTAAACAAAGCCAATCCTAGTGCCCTTTGGAAATTGCCTCCGAGGGTTACAAATGGTATGTGTGTGTTTGTGTGTGTGTGTGTATGTGTAAAATGTGTGTGATTTGAAGGATAAAACACAACAAGTTTGTTGAACACTCTGGATGTTCATGTTTTTGTGTAATTGTTTGTTACTCATCATTGCTCAATTGTTTGTTGCTCAATCATTTACTCCTACCCTTTGGTGCCCTCTGTGAGTTTGGTCCCAACTGAGCAGAGAACAAACATATCTTGCATAGCTTTTCATTAATCATTCTCCCTACTCTTGGCACTTGAAATATTCCATCTTTCTTGCCTAGAAAAATAACAATAATGTTTGATATTTTTATTCAAATTGGCAAACAAGCAATAAATGGAAAAGGAAGGAAATACATAATTCCCCTGAAATTTGAAATAAAATAAATAAACAAGTTTGTTGCCTATAAAGAAACTACTGCATTTTTTTTCTTGTGAAATTTGTCAGGATTTATTCTCTAATAAGGGATTAGCAGCCTTCCAAATTTTTAAAACGAGAAAATTAAAGCCACTTATTTATTTCCAATCACAGTCCGAACATATGTGTTGAAGGTTTTCTTCAAAATGTCAAAGCAATATCATGGTATCACAATACATATATGTTGTGGAGCCTGCATTGTGATAGTGCAATACTGCTTTTGTCATTTGTTCATCCCATGCATGTCTCTGAGTCAATGAGAGATTTGCATTTTTAAATAAAGATCTGAATTCACACCTTAAATAGAAGTAGGCATTCTTTTAAATAATGCAAAATGGGCAGCTTAATCTACCCCAAACTGCAACTAAGTACCAGCATAGAAGTGAAAGGACTTGATTGCAAGCTACTTCGAAGACTGTTTCACTTAAATGTGAGAATTGCTTCATGGGGAATATTAAAAATTCTGTTTATATGTAGTACTACAGAACAAACAGAATATTCAACCACTATGTGCTTTATTGCTTAATTGTTTTTTTTAACTGTAACAGGAAACAGGAAACTTTACTTAGAACAAAAAGGTCATAGAGTATATACCATAGATCCAAACTTGTAAATACTGCTATCCACTGGCTAAATACTACTGTAATTGTTGCATAAAATACATTCCAACAAAACATATTCCAACAGAGGATAAAGCCAAATCTATTGCCTGCACTGATTATGATGGTCTTGGAAAAGAATATATGGCACACTCTAGCCATGGATGAAGCTTTCTGAATGGAAAAGTAATTTCACAGTTAACTAATAGCACAATAGTGCATCAAAATTCCAGAAATGTTCATATCTCAGGGGTCCCCAACCTCCGATCTGTGGACTGGCACCGGGATGCAGCATGCCAGAAACCGGTCCACACAAACAAGCAAAGCCCATCTGTGGGATGCAGGCAGTACTTGAAAACAGGCTCCCCCCAGTCCTCAGAAAAACATCTCTCCACGGAACCGGTCCCTGGTGCTCAAAAGGTTGGGGACCTCTGTCATAACTCAGAAATGTAAGAGTTATTTGAAAAAGCACAACAAAAGTGGTCTGAAGTTTAGATTGTAGCTTTGAATTGTTATGGACTGATCAAAATATAATCCCAAAATATACAGTTAAAAGGTTGAATGATTCATTGATCATAACTACTTAAAGAAAAGCAAAGGGAAAATATCTAACAGACCTCAAATGTGACAGATTTAAGCAGGATGTAACCTGCCTCTAGATTGTCTAGTCTATTACATTAAAAATTGTAAATGTGGGTTTATGTCTATTTGTGTTTTCCAGGTCAGTTTTTCTCTAATACATATTTTGAAATACATTCTGGTCAAGTAAGATTCATTTATGTACAGGGACAGCTCTATTTATCCACCAGGTGAGAGAAACCAAAAAGTACTTACTTGATAAACTATGTTTACAGAAGAACTGTTGCAGGAATTGAGTATGTTTAGTCTAATGAAGAGAAGGACAAGGGGTGACATGATAGCAGTGTTCCAATATCTGAGGGGCTCCCACAGAGACGAGGAGCTCAATCTATTCGCCAAAGCACCTGAGGGCAGGACAAGAAGCAATGGATGGAAACTAACCAAGGAGAGAACCAACCTAGAAATAAGGAGAAATTTCCTGACAATGAGAACAATTAATCAGTGGAATGACTTGCCTCCAGAAATTGTGGCTGCTCCAACACTGGAGGTTTTAAAGAAGAGATTGGACAACCATTTGTCTATAATGTTATAGGGTCTCCTGCTTGAGCAGGGGGTTGGACTACAAGACCTCCAAGGTCCCTTCCAACCTTGTTATTCTGTTGTTTTTGTTGCCTTTTTCTTCAGACTAAAATTTTCAGTCTTTAGATCTTAGCTTTTATCATGGACTTGAGAATGCAAGTGGGATGGAGTTGTGGAAAAGGTTTACTTAAAGGCAGATGATTTTCACAAGTGTTAGAAATTAATTTTTTATAGCTCTATCAGAAGGGTCTACCTTCCTTTAAGCTCTCAGAGCAGAGAGATACAAATATTACATTATGTCACACACCCATGGATAGGAGTTTACATAAGATCCACTGTATTCTTTGGACAGGTGTGTGTGATTTTTTTCTATTTTTTACATTGTGTGGTATTTTCAGTTACATTGATTAACAGAAGGCATCAACTAACCAATTTCATTCTTACTAGGTTTCCTCAGACACGGTATGTCCCATGTAATTTGTACCCCTTAGAATAATATCCAGATACTCCTATTCTAGGATACCCAATTAGAGGTGAAACCAGTCACATAATGCCTCCTAGTGGTCCATGTTATTGATTTGGGGTAAATTTCTTTTCAATATAACTGTAATACCCTGTTAAACCTTTTAAAATAAAAAGTACTGTAATGTGTAGACCCCTCACTGCAGATCCAGGGTAACCAAAGCAAATAAGCTAATCAGACAATAATTTAATACCACTAGTAGTTTATGTCTGGCTATAGCTTTTATCAGTAATAATGCTACTACTTAACACTTCTATTTTTCTATTTTTCAGGACACGTGGGAAGGATTATAGAACTGGATCTAGTCAAACTGAACTTTTCTGCTGGCCACTGCAAATAAAAAATTAAAGAACACTTAATAGCAGAAGATTTTTACTGCCTAATGTCCATGATTTTATTAAATAACATAAAATCTTCCACATGTTCTTCAGTTTAATTACATTATGGATATAAGAGTGAATGGCCACACTTGTTGAATAACACTGTGGTACCTTGTGGAAACTTAAATTCAAAGAACTGATTTTGTTTTCTAAAAAATAAAAACAAAAGCCTATTATTGTCCTTACTAAGAAGTCATATTTTTTCAATTTATTTCTATTCTATTCTGTTCTGTTCTATTCTAAAATTAACTATTTCCTTCCCTACCAAAATCAATCTCACACATGTAAATACCTAAGAACAGTGCTTTTTTTCTAAAAAACAAAGGTGCCGGAACTCACACACATCATACAACCCGCCTTGCCTACCCTACAAGGTTCCATCCAAAAAAGGTGCCGGAACTCCGTTCTGGGCATTCTATGAGAAAAAAAGCCCTGCCTAAGAACATACATGGGTGTATATGTAAAAGCAAAAGAACACACATACAAATCTATTTTCCTTCCTGTCAACAGAAACAATAAACCATTTTCTATTTTACTCATGTTCTTTATTTATAATATATTTATAATACAGTTTCACTATATTCGCATGTCTTTCTATTCTATGTCTCCAATATATTTATTTGTTGGTGACTTCTGTATTTATGTTGTCTTAATCTGTATATATATATACAGGCAGCAGCGCTGCTGCCTGGGATATATATATATCCCAGGCAGCAGCGCAGCGAAGGCGTGAGGAGGAGAAAGCCACCGGCAAACTAGGAACGGCATCGGGCCCCGTAGAAGGAGAGAAGGGAGGTTGCCGATTGGATGTAGTATCGGAACGGGTGCCCATGGGAACACCCACCACCCCCACGGTTAAACAACGAAGCCTGCGGACTGATCTGGGTGATGGGTTGGGTGTTGNAAAAAAGGAGGGAGGAGGGCAGCAACACACATGTAGGTAAAGGAGGTAAGGAAGAATTAACTTGGTTTGCAGATGAGGCCAGGATTGGCCAGCCGGGACCTGTCACAAGATCTAGGAGCCGTGCGCAGACATGACTGTAGTTATAAGCAAGCTCTCCCAGCATCCTGATTATACCCTGACGATGATGGCAGTTTTAGGCTATCGAAAGCTAGGTTTTATTCATTAAAACTATATTGTTTTATGATTCCTGGGTATATACATGTTAAAAGCTGTACAATGACACTAGAACACCAGGAAGAGTTAAAACCAAAAAGTTTTAATAAATATTTAAAAACCTAGCTTTCGTTGAATATCTATCAACATCATCAGGGTGTATGTTGGTCAGTGGGAGGGCCCCTTTATAGATGAAGTGATATTGATGCCCCGACTCATAGATCTTGTTACTGGGCCTAGCCGGCCATTCAACTCTATAGTTGTGGCTTCTATAGTGTTGGCTGGATTACTGCTGCTTGCTTTTCCTACTCTCAAGTATTCCTTTTTTCTTGCTCCCAAGGTGGATGTGTCCTTAATCATGTTGCTATCACTTATGGCTCTCAGACTTATGGGGTGTTCTTTCCCATTAGGTATTTTAGGATGCCTTATATCTGTGGGTTCACCACTCTCCCCACACTCTCTATGCCCATGTCTGACTTCGTTCTGGTCAGCTGTACTTCTCACTGGGGCCCTCCCAGTGTGAGAAGCTGTACTTCTCACAGTGGGAGGGCCCCATCTATAAAGGGGCCCTCCCACTGACCAACATACACCCTGATGACGTTGATAGATATTCAACGAAAGCTAGGTTTTTAAATATTTATTAAAACTTTTTGGTTTTAACTCTTCCTGGTGTTCTAGTGTCGTTGTACAGCTTTTAACATATATATATATTGTCACTCTCTGTAGATGTATACACCTTTTCCCTCCAAGTTCAATCTGATTTTTATCATTGTTTAGTTTCTGTTTTTAATTTTTTTCTTTTAAAATAGTTTGACAATGCTGAAAAATAATATAAACTAAATCATAAAACAGAAAAAATAGAAAGAAATACAAATTCCAAAAAAGAAAAGAAAAGAAAAAGAAGAGAAGAGAGGTAGAAAAAAAGAATATATAAAGAAGTGATTGCCAATTTTCCTTGCAACAAATATAAGCAAATCATTCCTCCCTATGATATTACGTATATGGTCCCCTACTTCCCATAACCTCTTTTATCTGTTCATAAATATGAAGAGCATTGTCATTTCTGTACAAATCTCAACAGGAAGTCCATAAAGTTTTTCCAGAATGTTATAAAAATATTCCATATTTTCATCCTGATCAAACAAGCCAACTTTAAATTCCTTTCTTTTGCTTCTAACAATCTTAATCTTTAGTTCATCAAATTCTGTCACAGGATTGAATCTCCATGGAGATTGCTTTCTCCCATCTCAAACTTTTCTTCAAAGTTTTAGAAATCCTCTTTTGTAAATCCAGAAAGAAATCCTTGTCCAGGTCCTTCTTATCTCTTGATTTGTCATAAAAAGATTTTATTATTTTTATTATATAGTAACTAATACTCCTTCCACCTTCTTTTTTCTTCACAACAAAAACTCTGTGAGGTGAGCTTGGCTGAGAGAGAGTGACTGGTCCAAAGTTATCCAGCCAGCTTTCCTGCTTAAGATGGGACTTAAGGTGGGTCTAGAACTCATAATCCCCTGATTTCTAGCTTGGCGCCTTAATCGCTAGATCAAACTGGTTCTCAGAGTGCTGTCTGACTGTCATATCTGTCTTATATGTTTCAATTTCTTTATTTTCTCCATGAGCTAGAATTTGTACCCCACCCTTTAAAAAAATACATTTACTGGCACAGAGATCATCACTATCAGATTGATAGTAAGTTTCTCTTCCAGTTCCTCAAAAATCCTTTGAAATATCTCAAAGGTCAAACCTTTACTTGTCATTTGGCAGTTTTCACTTTTCTTTTTTCTGCTTGGAATTTTAGTCCTGTCTAGTGGACCATTTTTATATTAATGAAATTTCAGGTTTTATTTTTTTTTATTTTCAACTTTGAACCAATTACTGTATTTCCTGGTAGACTAAGCGATTTGTATTCTGATGGAAATACTGTTTTGTTTTCTCAATTTCTTTTTCAAAAATCTTAGCAAAAGTCATAACATTCCACTTGCCTAGTCTTTTAATCAATGTTAAACTTTCTTAAATTCCTATTCAGCTTTTTAGCATGTGTTCTATATATTTTTAAGTTCTTTAAACTGCTAATTAACTTTTTGTAAGGACCTGCCTCATTTAAACCTCCCAAGAAAGCAGAACTCTTGAAACTCACATGGTTTCAGCAGGAACTTTTATTGGAAGGTATTGATAGCAGGATAGTAAGGAAGGATCTGAGAATTTCCCACGCAAAACATTACATTAAAAGAGCCCTTTCAAATCTCACCCCAAATGTCCAGCTGGCCAGTTTGAATTGAGCCAATCCATAGGTGTTAAATTGTTGTGGGAAAGAACCGATAAGGCATCGTTCTCGAGGCTGGCAGGTCTCTCCGGGGTTTCTTCCCATATGACTAGAGATAAGGCAGATGGCCGGAGGCACATTCCTTTCATACCGCCAAGTAAGGTGCTTTAAAGAGGATAGAACAAAGCAAAGGAAGTACATTGCAGAAGACCCATAGGTTATTTCCCCTCCATTCCCAACACAAACATTCCCCCCACAATAGAATGGCAGAACCCAAAAATGAAAGCATAAGAAAGAAATACATTGAGGGTCTGACATGCCTTCCCCCTTAAAAAAAGAGAGATCCACCTGGAGAAGAGAAAATAATAATGGAGAGAATGAAACATAGCAGTTAGTCAGGTTTATCAGGGTAACGAGTATGAAAACATTTGAGCAGTCTAGGGGCCCTCACATGTTTCTTGTGTACCCACTCATTCTGGGAAGCCAAGAGGTCCTTCCATGCCACTAAGTATTGGGTGGCCCCATGGTGCTTCCTGGAGTCTAGAATTTCCCTGATTTCAAAATGTTGTTCACCTTCTACCATGATAGGTTGTGGTGGAGGGACCACTGCTGGCCTTACGGACGAATTCGTCTCTGGCTTTAGCAAGCTACTGTGGAATACTGGATGGATCTGTCTTAATGTCTTCAGGAGTTTAAGCTCTACTGTGACTAGATTGATGATGTGTTTAATAGGGAAGGGTCCCACAAATTTTGGCTCTAATTTCTTGGATGGCTGAAAGGACTTCAGGAACCTAGTGGAAAGGTATACCCTGTCCCCCACCCTAATGTTCTGACCCGACTCCCCAAACACAACAGATGAACCAATAAATCTCCAATGTTTCTTTTATTCAGAACACAGCCAACTGTTAAAGTCTTTAGTTGCCTCCAAATAACGGAGCTCGCTCCCTTTTCCCTGCAGGGGTCTCCCAAAACCCAGAGTTAATCTCAGTCTCTCCCCACACTTGCAGCAAGAGTCCTTCAGGCAAGCTGGCTCTTTTCCAACATAAGACACATGGACACACTCAGAAGGCGCTCCGACTCCCAGTAACACAGGATCCAAGGAAAAGTCTGGCAAGTTTCCAAACAGTCAGGAGTTCCAAATAGAAGTGACTGACCAGCAGGGAGATGAATAGTTGTCTGCCACACCTATTCATCTCCACCCCTGCCTTTTATCCATAACAGTTAGCAGCAGTGACTTTTCGGTCCCGAAGACCGGCCCGTAGCCTCTCACTGTTTTTCTCTCCTCAGCCTCTGCTGCGCCCACGCATCAATCACTGGCCCCATCCTCCTCTCCTTAATAACTTGCCTCAAGGCGTGGAGTCTCAACCTTTCCATCTGGGAGCTGGTGGATGGCCCAGGCTCTGCCTCTGACCCTGGCTGCAACAGCTCCATTCCTTTGTCCCCATCAGAGCTTTCAGCTGGACCTGACACTGGGCCCGATGCCCACTCCTGTGTTTCCTCCTCTGAATTGGCCATGGAGTCTTCTGGCAGTTGAACACCACAACACCTAAGGTAATTTACCTAAGTTTCTGGAGTTTCTTTGAGG